ATCTTGTCATGATAAATTACGTCAAATGGCGTTCCCTAATTATATTAGAATTCTAAAACAATAATGTACTTAGAGGTGTGAGCGCAATGCCGTAATTGATCGGAATTATAATGATTCACGGCAAAAAAAATGCCGTAATTCATTATAATTATACTAATTACAGCATTGCGCTCACATCTTTAATTGTACTCTACGTAATAGAAACTCAAATCCGTGGAACAAAGAACATGCACGTGAACTAGGGATGCTAATAACCTGACTCAAGCGATAGCTTAAATTAGTCGACTCAATAATACATTTCAATCAGCAATAGCAATAGTTACCATAAAGGGTCATATACAAGGCCCGGGTCTTTTAAAATTCCCCAATTTTAAAACCTATAATAAAACCCGGGTTTAAAATACGGCTGAGAGTTACGTAATATTACTGTATTAATAAAAAAATTTTGAAGATTATGCACATTTTACATTTATGGTAAGTAGTCTATATATTTGAAAAAAACCAGGCCAGGTCTGATTAATGTAGATCCCGCAATTCGTGCCCGGGTCTAATTCATGAAGGGTTTGATATATGGTGAATCTTTAATATGACCATTTACGATATTTGTTATATTAACTTATTTGCATACATAACATTGGTATTGTTACGACAAGGGAGAGACTTTACTATTGCGATGCCAATTTAACTCTGGCTCGTAAGCATTAAAAATAGGAAACTGATGATTCATTATTATGCACAAGACACTAAAAATGTAACCGATACAAATAAGTATCTTCCCAAAAGTGTACCCGGTACACAAAGAATCCTCTAAAATATTAATTAACCTATGCTCTATTCCAATTGAACAAAAGAAGAACCTCCTTCTATTTACAAAGAATATCTCTATTTATATTCCTCCTAATAGACTCCAATTGACTAATATACTATTATGCAATGTAGTAATAGTTACTAATCGCATTAAAAATGTTGTAACAATGTAAAAGTCTAATAAAGTAAACACTGCAACTATCATAAACTATAATATTATACAAAAAAGCTTATGTAGTGATATCACGTTTTTTCGTAACAGTATTGTGATTGAGTGGAGAAGTCAATTTGTAAAGTCATCCGAGTCAAATTATTATTGTACCCAAATATGGCATTACATCCTTGAATTAGCTAGTAATTAAGTAATAAAGTAATAGATGTGTTATTATTTAAATTACTTAATATAATATTACCTGATTGTTGACACGACACTGGAATTTTGGGGACCATCCTGCCTAATTTGCATGCATTACTTTCCAGTGTCTCTTTTACAGTATGAATAATAGGCTATAAAAATAAATTTAAATATTGCAGTGTCTTTTATCAAAGAATTCCAAAGCCTCATTCGATCAATTTACGATGAATAATATATTTTCATCTCGCTATATGACGGAAGTTTCATACATCCTTATCCCTTTATTTCTCTGTTATGTTATACACGCGTTACTTAATATTTACAAACATCCAAGGCATACAAATTCTAATCATGTATTTGAAAAAAAGAAAAAAATTCCAATCTCCGTAAATTTTCATTTTACACGCAAATGCAATTATGAATGTGGATTTTGTTTCCATACCGCAAAGTCATCAGATATCCCCACTATAGAAAATGCCAAACAAGCTCTAAGAAAGCTTTCTGAATCTGGAATGAAAAAAATTAACTTTGCCGGCGGTGAACCATTTTTATATCCAAAATATCTTGCCGATTTGATGAACTTTTGTAAAAATGAATTAAAATTGGAGTCAGTATCTATCGTTAGTAATGGAAGTAAAATCAAACGAACGTGGCTACAAAAAAATCGTGATAACTTGGATATATTGGCAATTTCTTGCGATTCATTTAATGAGGAAACGAATATTAAAATTGGTCGCGGATTAGGACAACATACCGAAAATTTATTTGAAATTGCAAAATGGTGCCATCAATTAGGAATAAAATTTAAATTGAACACCGTAGTAAATTCACTTAATTGGGATGAAGATATGAATAAACATATTGAGATTTTAGCTCCATTTCGATGGAAATGTTTTCAAGTTTTGATTTTAGAGAACGAGAATGGTGGACTTGGAGGTACGTTAAGAGATGCAAGAAGATTTGAAATTTCTAAAGAAAAGTTTGAAGCATTCGTCAAAACGCATGAAAATCAGAAGTCATTAGTTAAAGAGCCTAATGATGTAATGAAGAATTCGTACTTAATACTGGATGAGAAGTTGCGCTTCTTAAATTGTACCGATAGTAACAAAGTTCCGAGTGAATCTTTATTAGACGTTGATGTTGACACGGCATTACAGCAAGCTGGATGGGATGAGAGTGCTTTTCTTCAACGACAAGGAATTTATAATTGGTCAAAAACTCCGACTAATGGTTGTACCGAGGCGAATGATTTAAAAAAGTTTGATTGGTAAAAAATTTTCTAGTAGAAATTTTTCGTAGAAAATTTTAGATAAATTTTTTCAATTATTATAAATCGTACCAGTGATGTTGAACACCATATAATTTTTTATTATAATTTTTTGTTGTCAATACTTAAAATTGGGTTAAGAATTAAGATAAAATTTGAAGCTATAGGCTAAAAATTAAAGCTAAAAATACCGTAGTGCACTGAACAAAGTATCCTCCTTTTCAATATCCCCCTTACAAAATACCCGATGCAAAACACAAGATCTCTATTAATTAAATATAGGTTTTTTTTAAATCTTTAGACTGCTTATCATGAATGCGGAAAATGTATGTAAATGAAAATTCTCTTTCTCCGGGTCTTTTGTAAATTTTTGACGGGTATTTTGTATTAGACCACAAGTTTTTTGGTCAGTGCACTACGGTAAATAATTTGGGGTAAGGTTTTTATGGTTGCTAAATATTTTTACTAATACATCCGGCCTTGGTTATTTAGACAGTTTTTGATAAATAGCAACTATGGTGTATAAGTGACAAAATTGAGTATATAGTATATATTAGCTACCTATAGACATTTTAAAATTTTCAAAAATTTTAATTAAAGTTAAACACCACTGGTGTGATTTAACAATGTCGAGTTTTTTAGAAACAATTTTAATACTTTATTGATAAATGTCAATTTATCGTTATTATACACTTGATCCTCGTTAATGTCAACTCACTTTGATTAGATGATTATGTTGATATCTACAAGGGTACTAAATCGAAAACTCCTCTAAAATAGCAATCGGTGCTTAAAAATATGATTACCACATATAATAATATGAATTTTTATTTAGAATCAACCTAAATAGTAAAACGACGCAGAATATATCTACCTATACTGATTTTTTAACACTGTTATGAATGTTTGTCCCCTTTCCTTTGTGATTATTAAAAATAATACCGTAAAGTGCCAACTGATGTATCCGGATATTTACAATATCTTGAGCCGTACCCGTGTACTTAAGTAGGAGGGGTATATTGTATTGGTCAAGGGTATAATTCCAAAAAATAATGTTCTGAGCTGTACTTGGGTACTTAAGTAGGAGGTACATTATATGAAATTTGTACCCTCTAAATTTTAATTAGCAAAGTTTAATAAATTAATTTATTTCACATAATTGATATTATAAAATTAATAAATTAATTTATTTCACATAATTGATATTTTAAAATTAATAAATTAATTTATTACACATAATTAATATCATAAAATCAATAAATTAATTTATCATACATAATTAACAATATATAATTATATATTTATTATTTGTTAATACTTGATATATAAAAACTGTAAAGCTTCTTCCAAGTAATTATAAAATGGATCTAAATAAAAAAATAGTTTAAACAGATTTGCATTATGCCGCAAATTTAATCTATTGGTTTTTATGATATAAAACTTTTAAACAGACCCAGCTGGTTGATTTTTTTAAAAAATTTCATATATAAAATTTATAAAATTTTTTTAAAAAAAATTAGAATATCTACCTATTTATTAAAACATAAGGTAAAGGGGTATTTTGGTGAAGTTGAAAAATTAATATAAAATTTTTTTATTTTATTATAAAATTTATTTTTTATTTAAATTATATAAATATTTAGAATTACAGTCAAACCTCTCTATAATCACACCCTTGATTTGAAGAATTTGGTGCTTATAAAGAGTTTGTGCTTATATAGAGATTAAATTTTATAAATGATATATAAGTTAGTTATAAAATATTATGTAATCAAAATCAAATATGACTATAAAGGAGGTGACTATAGAGAGGTCTGACTATATTTATATATAAAATTAGTAATATAGAAAATTGATTCGAAGAAGCAATTTTTAGAGTTGTATATTATGCAAAAAGTTAAATTTTAAAGAGGTAGAAGTATTTGGCAAATTTAGGTTATATTGTGATTAGTAATCCAAATCTGATAATTTTTGTATCATTCAATTTGTCTCATCAAGACAAATTGAATAGTGGTTAAATTATCTAATTCGAATCTCTGGATCACAAAATATTAGTAATTATATAAAGTACTAAATTTATCATAATTCTTACAAGATTATTTTAGCATTGCATATAATTATTAATATCTTATAATCTAGTAACCAAAATTAAATGATCTAGCCACTATCCAATTCATCTCTATGAGACAAATCAAATGGTATAAAAATCATTTGATTTGGGTTATTAAAAACAAGATAAACTAAATTTGTCACAATATCTCTTTCAATAAAATTTCTTCTTTTATTTTATAAGTTTTTTTTTACAAATTTTCAAATTTTTACCCAGTTAGATTATAAAAACTAATTAATTAATTTTGTATAAACTTACTAAAAAGTTGTCAAAGTTAGTATATTTATAAAAACTTATAGTTATTTATTATTTTAAACATATTTATAATATATACTTGATAGCTAAAAATTTGGCATTAAATCTAAGCAAGTTTATAAATTTTAAAGAAAAAAACAAGATTTTTTGATGCTACATCTTATGTTCTAATACTTAATTATAGCTATTTAGCAAAATATCTATTTTAAAAAAATTTAGATAGGTTATAAATTGTATGATAAACAAATACAATATTACAAAATATAGTTGTATATAAAATCAAGTTGCTATTCTAAAGAATAAAATTAAAATATATAGCAATTTTTTTTGTACACCAGTTTTGTGTAATATTTCGTATACCAATTTATGCCTGGCCTAAAATTTAGGGTTAGCGCGGGCTGAAATTATGTTAATACCAGCCAGGGTTTTTTAGTAAAAAACTCAGCCAGTATTAAAAAATTTCTGGCCTGCACTAACCCTAAATTTTAGGCTAGGTGTAAATTGGTATACGAAATATTATGAAATATTACACAAAACTGGTGTACGAAAAAAATGCCATAAAATATATTGTTAATTTTAAATTCTCTAATTATTAATTAAATAATTTTTATTTTATCAGAATCTCTTAAACTATTATTATATAATCATTTAATAATATTTTTAGAGGTTTGGGTTTTATAGTTTAATGAATAAATTTTTGTTTCTTTATAAACAAGGTTGATAGTTTAAGTTTGGCTAGAGGCAAAATATTCTATAATCTAACAGGAGTCTATAATTATATGCAAAGCTTTATAAAAGTTTAAGTAAAAATATATATTTAGTTTAAATATCTAATTAACAAGTTTTATATTAATTAAATACAAAATATTTCAAACAAAAAGCATAGCAACTCTTTCTGATAATCTCTTGGTCAATAACAAAATAAACTAAACTGCAGAAAAATGATATAGAAAAGCAACAAAGTAGACACCTAAATATTTTTAGTACCATACAAATATACTTGCTATCAACGAACTTTATATATATAAAACACCAAGAAGCAAGCATATAAACAACAAGTGAGTTGTGTATTTAAGTCAAGCTTTTAGTAGACTTCTTTGCACTTTTGACATCCAAACCAAAAGGATATTTTGGAAGCAATGTTACTGTGGGTCTCTAGACAGGAATATTAAATAGAAATTAAGAAACTGGACTATACAACTGTAACTCTTACAAAAAGAATCTCACATACTCTCATTGGCCCACTATTTTTTTTTGAAGAATTTTTGTAAAAAGTGGGCATTTCAGTTTACTCTTTCCAAAAGATTGATATCACATACACCAAAACAGTCAGTATTGTTTATTTTCTAAATTAGTACAACAGAATAACAAACACGTCAAGGCATGTACCTCAAATACAACAAGCCAATAAACAATACCCCAAGACTAGGATCGAATACTAACTCCTATATTATATAGTTGAAGAAGTATTTTTTTACTAGTTTTAAGCTTTCATATACTATTTAGATAAATTTAGAGTAGAAACTACTTATTTAGTAGTATATAATTTTTACAAGTCTTTTACAGGCTTATAATAGTGATCATTAGAATAAACAAATTTCTTTTTTTATTTTTTTTGATACTCCCTTATACCCTTTTTTTTTTTCTTGTTTGTATCTTTTATCGTATTCTCTTTTATTTTTCTTTTGTGTTTGTGCTTTCATTAATTTGGCCCTTTTGACAGAGCAATGCAGCTACTAGGGCTAGGGTGTCCAGGATTATACTACTAGCAGAATTTAGCATAATTCGAGTTTGATAGCATAATTATGCTAGCAGCAGAATTTGGCATAATTTATTTATTAGCATAAAATTTAGCATAATTTGAGTATTATTAGAAATAAAAGATGAAATCACTAAGAAGGTGTTTTATTTTTTAATTTTAGCAGTTGCTATATATTGTTACAAGAACAATATCTATTATTCGACAGGTTAGCATGATTATATTTATCATATGTAGTCAGGTTTTTTTATGTAATAGAATTGCAGGTCTCTATATATGTTCTTTCTATTAATCGTGTAATTCAAGTGAAAAAGAAATCCTGTAATAGAGATATATTTTCATATAAATTTTAGAGTTTAATCTTTGAAATGCAATATTTTATTTATTAATATCAAAAAAAGTAATTGCACAAGGTTGGTAATCTGTTATAAAGTACTAGCAGAGGAATAAATTTTGTCATTATTTAATTATTTTAGTATTTTTTTTTTATTCTTTTGTAACTATACTTAGAGCGATTTAGGATTATAGGGTCTGTATTGATTCACTGACAATCACTTCACTGACAGCTCATTTAGACAATATTATACCAGGTGAATTTAGTAAAAATATATATCTGCAACTAATGAAATGCTTAACCCTAACCCTATGTAATGTTGGCTAAATGATCATTCAGTGAAATAATTATCAGTGAATTGAAGAGATCCCATAAACATTATATAATAATTAAAAGATTTTCTTAGTTAAAAAATTTATTAGCATAAAAACATAATTTGATCTTATTAGCAGGTATAATTTGGTACCATTAGCAGCATAATTCTAGACACCCTAACTAGGGCTAAGGATCAGAGGTTCATATTCTCAGAAAGTTGAGGATCAAATA